AACGGAATGCAAGTAATGTGATAGTGGACCGTTTATGAGCCCCTGTGGTCGATCACAGACCTTAAAGGTTTTGGGGCATTTTTCCCAAACCAAATTTCTCTTCTTCTAAGTTATCATTGGTGCAAGGTGTGATGACTTTCAGGCTTCAATTAATATAAATTGAAAGCAGGCAAAGTATTAATTAAACATGACACCCTGATTATTTAAACCTTCTATTAAAGTTGATTATTCACAGAGAGTTGATAGCCTGCTCTTCAGCAATGACGGATGATATCAAGGTTTACTGACTTCCTTCAAGTCTAGTGTTTCCAACGATTCAGAACAGAAGGAATAAATGAAGTGAGAAGAACGCTGGAACGAGTCTGATAGACAGACTGACTAATCTCAGACCCGCAAGGTCAAAGTAAAGCAATTCATTTCTTGGCTTTCATGAACATGAGACATGATCTATCCATCTGAGAGCAGAATTACAAACATTATACATCTCAGTGATAGGTTCTTCGCACCGTGTAACTTTTTGAACAGTGATCGATTGCACAGTTGCCACAAAATTAATGTCTTAAAGCAAAACTCATTATATTTGCAAATAAAAACCCTTTGGTTTTTAAGAACAAATGTACACATTAGCAATTATTAGCACTACATACTTCATTTGGGGGGAAAATAACATTTTAAAGTTCATATATTCCTTGGGATTCTATCACCTTCATGGTCCAAACTTTGGATATATGTGCTCCTCAAAATACTATTCTTACTCTAATATTTATTGTTTGTGGAGCCAGTTAGCATGCTATAAATAATTATTCAATGAAATACTTTTACATTTCTATAAAACTTCAATGATAATCACTGTGTTTTCAAATAAAAATGTTAAATACCTCGTAAAGGGTAACTACTCCCATAGATCCAAAGCTACTCTTAGAGAAGAAAACACAAATTAAAAGACAGACCATGGGAACATTTTTTAGCATTACAAATGTAATCACAGAACAGGAATTTTGCCCAAATTTTTAGGATTAGTGCTTTACAAGCTTTAAAGAATAGATGAAACTTAAGAATAGAAAAAGCCACGAGCTAGTTATTTGGATTGCATTAATCTCCCAGTTTATCTCCCACTTGTTACGATATTAAGGAACTGTTCTGTAAGTCATAATAGCAGTTCAGAAATTATTCCATAAAGTAATGTTAGCTAATTTGAAAGATTTCCACTGAAATTAAATTATATGTAAAGGGTAGCCAATTGTGATCATGAAACCTTATTCCACATCCTATATATTTTAACTCACATTGCTGTTTTCACTGATCTAAATTAATGATCCCTTTTTCTATCAGGTCACAATTTTAGGGAAATTTTATTGCCTAGGTGGAGGAGGACAGTAAAAAGGGTTGTATCTCCAGCTGATGACTCATTTCACCAGCTGCTGAATGCTGCCCATTACAAACACACCTGGACACATGCACCCGTGACTGATGGGCAAACACATTTATCTCGGCACGTCACAAAGGAGCTGGAATTATAATTAATCTCCCTTGTATCTAAAGGTATTTTGGAGCCGGTCTCCCTACAAAATAATACAAATTACACATCTGGACAAGGTCCACATAATTTTACCATCTATTCTCAATATTCGATCATCAATATTTCCCAAACCATTCTCTGTGTTTAAAAAATAAGATTTAGTTTTAAAAGACCTGGAAAAATTGTCAACATTTCAGGGAAATGCTATTTTTAAAATTAAGACGTTGAATAAATTGCTCAAAACCCTGGATTTCTTTGGTTGATAAATACATAGTACAAATTTTACCTTTCCTTTCCATTAAGGGGATTTTGGAGATTTCTCATATTCTGATTTTGAGAAAATAAATATGTTGTCTGAGTTTTACACAGACTCCTCCATGCAAACATTGCATATCTGAGTACCTAGCGTAAAAGAACCAAAAGGTATCAGAGGTTTCTTTCTTCAAGTTGTCTTGGCGGTTACTCATTATCTTGACCTAAAAATCTAGAGATTTGTACTCTCTCCTGAAAAGTTCCTAAGTTTAAGAGCTTAAAATATAAGTTTAAAATTAAAAGTATTCTAGGACTATTTCATGAAATTTGCAGAATCATGATTTCCAGAAAATGACAATATTTCATCCAGTGTAACCAGTGATAACAATCTTAGTCTTATACAACAGGCTTCAATATGGTGTGAAAATTTTTTTGCCTTTCTTTCTAAAACACTGAAGAAAGAGAATTGCTTAGGATCCTGAAACCTAGGAAACACTCTGATGGGAGTAACATTTTACCTTGCTCCTAAAATAAGGATATGGTAATAGTAGCAACAACCAATTATGCAGAGATTAAAAAGTAACAGTCACTAATCTACGTACTCACTGCCACAGCCCAATGAAGTAGGTGCTATTGTTCTTCTCACTTTTTGAGATGAGGAAATTTCTTTGCAACAGCGGACAACAAACCCCGAATCAACACATCCCTGTTCTTTAGTATTTGTATATCTTGATCATGAACATTATCAATGTGTGAAACTAAGCCTCTTAAATTAAGAAGAAAGAGGGAGAGAGAGAATCCTAAACTGGCATACCTCTCTGGCAGAATGCATCAGAAATTCAGATCAAGCTAATAATGGCATAGTTTGAATATGCACAATAGTATAATTGTACATATTGAAAACAGAATCTATGCTTAAATTTTTTTTTTTTTTTTTTTTTTTTTTTGTACGTGGGCCTCTCTCACTGTTGTGGCCTCTCCCATTGCGGAGCACAGGCTCCGGACGCGCAGGCTCAGCCGCCATGGCTCACGGGCCCAGCCGCTCCGAGGCACGTGGAATCTTCCCGGACCGGGGCACGAACCCGTGTCCCCTGCATCGGCAGGCGGACTCTCAACCACTGTGCCACCAGGGAAGCCCCGCTTAAATTATTAAATAACATTAAATGAGAATATGAACTATCTCCATGCCACTGATGTACCATGTTACTGTTCCGTTATAGGTCACATCCACAGACCTACTGTTTGCCACTCTTTTCATAAGAAATATTCTCTGATATTGGATTTTAGTAATTGGTCTCTTTAAAATGTTTGTAGACTTAAAAAAGACAGTCATAGGGCTTCCGTGTTGGCGCAGTGGCTGAGAGTCCGCCTGCCGATGCAGGGGACGCGGGTTCGTGCCCCGGTCCGGGAAGATCCCACGTGCCGCGGAGCGGCTGGGCCCGTGAGCCATGGCCGCTGGGCCTGCGCGTCCGGAGCCTGTGCTCCGCAACGGGAGAGGACACAACAGTGAGAGGCCCGAAGAAAACGATAGCCATAAACCATAGTAATCTCTTTCGCACAATGGAGACTCAATAAATACTTTACATAAAATCTAGTAAGAGGAGTCTTTCCTCCTCATTGCCACTTACACACTAATTATTTGCAAAAAATTAAAAGGCAGGGCAACCCATTTATCTCTGTGATCAGCGGATTTAGAGTCATAATGTAGTTTATCACTTCAGAGCAATGCTAGAAAGAACTAGTTCCCGGTAAATGTATGTTCTCTACCACAATTTCAGCTGTAAATATGAAAACATTGCTAGAAACTTATCATATTTCTCAATAAAATAACCATTTCACGTGTTTAAATTACATAGTGATTTGCATAATAGTTAAATCAGATAGTATGAAACACTATTTGAAGCTCAATTACTGGTTTGCGTATTCAAAATTCTGACAACTCTGGTACTTGGCCAGATCTAATCGGCTACCAATATACTTGCTGCCCGAATTTTAGTCTACCTTAATTTGAATTGTCAACCCTTAAGCATGTTCTCTGAAGTCCAGGCTACTTCATACTGACTCACCTTTGTACTTGTTTCCCTTTCTTGGAAGTTTGTCCCTTC